ATTTCATTTCAGGATTAAGTATAATTCATTTATATAGTTGAAATCTCAGAGATATTCACTTTCCCTGAATATTATGACAAGATGAACCAAGGAAATGAGACATTTGACAGCGAAAAATTGTTGACTTTGTGAAGAATTCTGACTTTACCATAAACGCGGTTTTAATGGTATCATGTATCCTGAATTTATCCTAGACTTATATAAACAAACAACTAGGAAATCAGTTGAATTCAAAATGTGATATTACACTCATAAATGAATCAGTTCGCCTACATATTAAGTGTTTTTCTGATCACGCGTAGTTCTGCTTCCGCCACTAGTGGCAACTTTTGAGCTGAAATTAATCCTCCTTCGTTTGCGATTTCTTTTTACTTTTTCATTTGGAATTTCGTTTGGAATTGATAGTTTATTCTTCCCTACCTCTTGGACAATTGAACTCTGGAATTTCCCTAATTTCAAGGTCCTTGAGATCTTGGACAGTGTAAGATTCACCATCGATGATGAGTTGATGACCTCTAATTGAGGTTCATAGATGTTGTTCCCATGTAGTTTTTCAGATGAAATTTCAGTACTAACTGTTGCTTTCTATCTTCAGGACACAACTCTTCTGCGATATCAATTTTGGGACTTTTCAACTTATGGATATTGGGGAATGCCTAAGTGTATATAACATTATATTTCCGATATTTCGGCAAAGGTTACTGTCATTATCAGGGAGCTACAAGATGATGATTTTAATGTTATGATGAATTTTTTTCAAAATCGTAAAACACAAATAGTTGGATGAATAATTGAATAAAACAAAATACATTGAAGAAACGTAAAAAGTATAATATTTATTGCAATTTATTCTAATATTAGTAGCATATAATGTTTCTCCATCAACTGAAAACATATTTATTAAGGTCAGGAACAGGAAACACTTGTAATTTGAAAATTTGAGAAAAGAGATCTTCTTGACCTAGGCCGCTGGAGCAATATGTCAATTACAGTGGAAAGTGTTTTTGAGGAGTTATATATGGAACTGAAATGATTTTGTGAAAAATTTTTTGTCATCTTTGTATGAGAATGATTAGAGGAGACAGTTATTCAGGTAACTGCAAATGAATTATCATTCAGATTGTCGCAATTTTTGCCTATTAAAAGTAGATATGAATAGATTCCACTTGAATGGTTCGAATTCAATTCATTTTATTTATTCAGTGAATTTTTTGATCTTGGAACGAATGCCTTTTATGAAAATAATCTCTCAAGGTATAGTCTGCAATCATTTTATGTGAAGATATGCGATCCTTCAATAATCTAGCAGTCTGACCTATATATTCAGCATCACAACTAGAACAAAGGATACTGTAAATCGATTCTGATTGAAATTTTATTGGAACTCCAATATCAACATCTGAAGAGAACTGATTGTAAGAATAGTTTTATTTGGTATTCTTTATTATCCATATTTTTGAACATTCGTGAAAATTCGTGTATGATTTCAGTAATGAAAAGTAAATAATTGAAAACTGTATTTATAGATTGAAGTTCATTGTTATCAACTATTTGTTACTGATTTTTTTTTTCCACCGTAGTGTGAGCTGGTCAGGCCCTATCCCCCGAAGCACCGATACATTCGGGAGGGCGCGCCAGCATAATCAACCAATGACCACTCCCCACACCGTGGGGTAAGTGATCATTGGGTCCGAGAATCATGTGCCCTGAGCAAACGCAGTGAGCCAAGAATGACAGCCTTCTGCATCTGTGCGGCTAAGATTTCTGCCTTAGTGCGGCAAGCCGGTATGATTTTGAGATTCGAGAGTAGAGAAGACATCATTCCACCAAGGACTCCAATAATCAGAACGA